TGCTCGTTTGAGCCGAGAGAATGTGATACTCGTGTTCAGGATGTCAAAATATCCCTGGAGGCAAATCTACAGCGGATTTGCTGATTAAGGGTGTCTTGGCGCGGGCACCAGTTCACGCCAAGCGGGTGTGATATGCGTGTTCAGGAGGTCGAACTACCTCTAGATCAGAATTTTCAGCCAAATCGCCCCCTCAGGAAAAGTCGGTCGAAATTTCGCCGTTTTTGGAAGATTGGGGTAGAGTAGAATAGCGCATTTTTGACCACCCCAAAGCCATCTGCAGGGGAGGGGCATTTTGCACTTTGGCCACTTCTCGTCGTCGTTCGGGCCATCAAGTGCAGAACTGTGAATTTGTGGAACCGTGAAGTGATACCAGTCGAAGTTCAGAAACTGCTATATCTGTCAACTTGTAAGACCCTGATCACGATGATGGAAAGTAACGAAATCGCAAAAGCCCCCCCCCCCCGCAACTCCCTTCAGAGCAAACTGCGCCGCCAACTGTTCCAAAAAAGGTTCAGGTTCGAACTGCTCTTATATGGCAGTGTCACCGAAAATTCGATACTTGTTTCGTTTCTCTGGTTCACGTGTTATTCCTGTAAATGAAGACAGAAGATCACTCTTGAATGGATGGTTTCAGTTGATGTTGGTCGGAGAAGAAGTATTTAAAAATCCACTCGATGGGCTAGAAGAAGAGCCGTTGAACGGAAATGAGGTTTTGCCACCATCGGAACCTCCACAATGTGATGTACCCAGCGATAGCTTCGTTGACGTCGACACTAATGGACCAAGCAGTCCGGGGAACATCGCTAACGACAACCGATTCGTAAGTTATTTTACATAAATCTACATGTTTTCCTTGAATTTGTCAAAGTTACTTGTCAGAAACCTGAGCTATTCGGCTTGGCAGGGGCATCCTGCCCTTCTGCTGGTCTCTTCTGCTTGTTCATATTGAATAACTTGTCTCACCCAAGTATGACCTGTGAAGTCTTGTTAAGCTGTGAAGTGAACCCTCTTTGGTCAGAGGATTTCGCAGATCGTCACAAGCCCTGTACATTAGCTACCATTCAGTGCTTCCCCCCCTCACCGAACCGAACTGCACCCAGAAATCTTTTCTCAGCTAGACCACTTTCAAAACACTGCGCCGTTGGGGATCAGACGTCTCTCAAAGAGGACTGGATACGTATCGGTCCAGAGAAAGAAGATTGGGAAACTGGAGAGCTCTTGGAGAGACCCAGATGGAAGCATTCCTTGGCTCTACTTTATGGGGAACTGGGGAATTCGAGGAACTTTTCAAAAAATTCACATGTAATATACTCTCGTTGACTGCGCTCAAATGGAGAAATGGCAAAATCGATACGTGTCTTATTCCTTTCGCAGATTTTCCAATTGTCGGACTTTTCAGCTCAGCGCTGGCAAAGAGAACAGCGCCAGGGATGGTGCTTGTGATTGCTCGTCAAAGAATGTAGCTGGTAAACCCCTCTAGGGATGAATGAATGTTCTTGCAAATGAAGAAGCAGGCAATACTTTCCATTTCTGTCTTTCTCATTTAATCTCTTCCTGTCCTTCTCTTTCTGGTACGTTAAAGAGCGCTAGCGAGGATGGTACACTAGTTGTCAGACTCCCCCCATCCGACCATCGCAGGTGTATTTAATCGGCATGGGAAAAGGCAGGACTGTGTTTTCAACGGGGTAGAAAAAGGGAATCAAGCCCGATAGAAACTAGCAATTCACGCCTTTTTGGCCACCTTATCTTGCTTTTCCAAGATGCGAAGATGGCACCCTCTGTTTGACTGCTAACCTGGTTTCTAAGTACGTAGACGTAGTGGGTGCGGAAGGGGTGGCGCGGCGCCAAGCCCATTCTCCGACAGTTATTGAAGCGAGTAAGTGACAAGGATGTATCATCTTTTATATCTGTCTCTTTCCAACAGTAGATTTCGTCGCATACATCAACAATCAGTGGAGAACGAGCTAACTGCATGCCAAACCCAGCCCCATTGCACCGCCCCTTCATCTGCAATGAACAAGACTGTATCTATAAAACCCTTGGGTAGATGTGGAATTGCACACCAGGAGTACCTGGTCGGTTTTTCGTTCATATAACTTCAGTCGAAGGTGAAATTCAAAAATTATTTTTTAGACCTAATTATTACTGTTTATTTGACGGCAGACTCGTGGAAGCATATCGAGAGTTGTCGATATGTGAGAAGTCTGAATCTTGAAAGCGGGCGTAGTTTAGCGACGGGGGGGGGGCATTTTGCACTTTTGCTACTTCCCATCGACGTGTCGAGCCATCAAGTGGAGACCTGTGAAATCTTGTGAAGCCACGAAATGATACCAGCCAAAGTTTGTAGAGGTTACTTGTCGAGTTTTGTAAAAAGTATCTGTGAACTCTTGTGAAGCAGTGAAACCATTAAGCATGGTCGCTCGACAACCTTGCTCCCGCTTCACAAGGGATCACAGGTTCCACCAGAGTAACTTGTAAAACGGTACTGATGAAGCAGCAAAATGCAAAATGCCCATCCCCCGTCGACGAACTGCGCCTTAAAAGATTTAAGTGGGTACAAAAGCTAACTGATTCTGTTTATGACAAACCTCTGGCAGTCCCTTTATTGAACAGGGGCCGGAAGTCGGCAGTGCGCTGTAGCGATGACGGGTTCTGCACATTGCACGATAAGATGTTCGAAACAAAATTGCGCTGATAAAAGTCTTATGCGGCTTCTGTGTTTTTGTAAATTGCACCACTAGTCGCATTTCCTCCTTCATCAATCACCTGGGGAGAGGTATTGACCTGGTTATACTGTCTGGTGTTTTATTACTGTATTCCGAATTGATGAGAGCAGTAGGGATTCTACTGCTCCAGCAAACGAAATATACCTTGGTCTTCCCTTGGTTTTGCTGTTTCATGTAACTTTTGACTCATGAATGACGCAACGTTGATAGCGATTATTGTATGTATGAACGGCGCGTGAATATGTATGTCTGTATGTTATCAGCTAACGATCGAGCGAGTGCTCTATCGATCAGTCTTGTGATATTGTTCACCATCATTCTGTGATGTTACAGCATCGTACTGAAGAAATCAATGTGGATCTTGATTCTGACAATGCTATTATGGTCGATATCTCTGATGCACTTTCCGAGAGAGATAAGGTACGAACCTACAGTTTGTTGGGCATTTTTCTTCCACTGTTCTTATTTTTCCTTTTTTTTCAGGAGCCGGTAATCTCTGGGAGGGGGTGGGAGGAAGCAAGTAAGGGACTCTGTGCAAAATTGGCATTCCTCAGTGGGAATGGGGATTATGCCTTAGCCGTAAAGTCAAAGAGCTACGGGGTCATCTCTGTTCTGAATAATCAATCCCAGTTTTGCACAGCCAGTCATTTGGATGCCCCTCCAAGGTTAACACAGCTAGCGGTTTCAAAACGGACCCGCGCTCAACCAATTTGTAAGTGTAAGTAGTCCGGTTCCCAGTCTCGAACTAATCCCACGTTCGCGGCTTCACAGTAGCCAATAAAAGCGCTGTGGTAATAGGAATGGCAGTTCTGACGCCTTTCTAGTAAGCCCACCCACCGAAACTCGAAGGTTGTTTCCTGTCAGGAGTTCAGTTTTTACACAATCGTTTCGGTTATTTTGTTCTCCGCTAGATGGTATTAGTATGGGATGACGCGGTAAAGTTTTAGTGAGCCAGAGGCGGCAGGTTATCCCTTTTCTCGCATGAAGCGAGTCCAGAGAGGCTGCCAGGGGGTTCTTCAGGGTGTTCTCCATTATTTTTTCCCTTTTTCCCCTGGTTAGTCACCTAGTGACTACAGGTTTGTAATGAACATCACTATACGCAATATGCAGTTCTGAGGGTTTGTCTTTAGCGAGATTATTAGTTGTTTAACACTTTAGACGGCTTGACCTCCGTCAATGTCACTGATTTCAGCTTGGACTGAAGAGTGTAGATTAACCAAAAAGTTCGCTCAAAATAACGCCTTTACTCCTCATCGAGCATCGTGATAATCAATAATGATCCAGGCGTAAGCCGACCATTGCGCTTTTCTGGGCAGTTGGAGTCAGCTGACCTTTTAGTGATCCCCTGTAAATGAAGTAGTTTTCCAAGTCTTGCCGTATGTATCAGAATAAAAATAATCCCTGAATTTGCTGGAATATGATGCTGGAGCAGCGTCGCTGCACCGCAAGCATCTATCTCCTTGTCCCTTATCGATCCATTGCGTGAGGACTTACAGCATCCCATTTCAGGTGAAGTACACAGTACATACGAAGACTCGTCTACAAGGCATGCGTGCCGAGACATCAGTTGTACGGGAGCATGAGGAATTCCTATGGCTTCATAGTGTGTTGGATGAAAACGAAAGCTATGCAGGTTTCATTGTGAGTTTGCTGTTTTTATACTTTCAACGTTACTTGTACTGCGGACAACATCTGCAGAGGCTGTGCT